CTTTGTGTTTCAATCTTCACCAAAAGATCTGAAGGGTGCAGTGGACATCGGTCACCTTGGACTGTCTGGCATCCATCCTCCCACCTGGCTAAAGCACAATGACCCCCTTTGGGAACCTTCACCCCCAACATGCATTCTTCCTGGGAGTGCTGTTGCCTCCCCTATGGAAGCCCAGAGGCCATGATCTCCCTCACACCAGTGGAGGTGGCGGGGGGAGGGGTAGACCACAGGACGCTGGGCTGCTGGGGGAAGATGGAGTTCACTCCCCAGCCATGGTGGCACATGGACCAGACAGGCCTTGTCACTCACCTCTATGTTCTATCAGTGGCCTCCCCACTTCCAGAGCTCCCCTGGGTGCTGCCTGTGTTCCATGCCAGGCTCTCAGTCTGGTGGCAGCCCCCTTCTGATAGGTACCCGTGGCTCATTCCTCACAATCAAGAATGCAGACTGGGCAATGCAGACAAATGGGCTGATGCAGGAGGATAGTGTATTTCATGGATGCCCCAAACCCTTGAGGTGCCTGAGAGGTTATTCCAGCGCTGCGTTCAAACTGAGCTCCGAAATCTATTTTAAACTGTTTTAAGAACACTCATTAAAACACGTAACAGTCATCGGTTCCCCCTGGGGGACTACTGACGGCGGGGGTCAGGGCAGGAGGAGCCTTCTGGCGGGCTAACATTCTTCACCTATATCTGACTTGTGGTTTCAAGGGTCAGACTGCACAACTACGTGGGTATACTGGATGCCACTGGACTGTACACCTAAAGATGCTTCTGGTGGCAAATGTTATGTATACTTGACCGCAGTATCAAAAAAGCACAGACTAAAACAGAATTCAAAATATTGCTGTATATTGATTTCAATCAATATCAGATTAAGCCAAAAAAGAAGCATATAGGCATAAATTAAAAATCCGTCAAGTTTTGCCCTCTTTACATATATGTGAGCTGCACCCTAATTAAAACTACAACAAAAAAACGCTGTTATGTACCAAATTACACAACACTGGCAACCCAAAGCTTTCCTAGTCATCTTGGGTGCCAGATAACTCCTTTTCTGCAGAACTCAGGACAGCAATTCCTGCTAGAGCCGGATCCTGAGGTTTCAAGGCAGCTGCTGAAAATCCCTGAGCACGGGCAAGCATGCACTACGTGACTCAGATTATTTTTCCATTCTGTGCAATCAAAACAAAATATGAAAAATAAACTGGATATTGGGATGAGAAAATCACAGAGATGGAATACAGGTAAATGGGCGCCAGTGGTTAGGGAAAAGGAGGGTGGCAGGGGGTGGCTCTCAAGAGGTGGTCAAAGCAGACACCTCAGCCGCCATGGAGCCTTCTGTTCCTGATTGTCATGGTGGGCGGATAAAGTTGTACAGGTAGGAAGACGTCACAGAACTTTACACAAAAGCATGCCGAGAAATGAGTGTGTGCAGAAACCAGTAAGCCTGAAGAGCTGTAGTCTAGCTCACAGTATCGGGCCCATCCACTTCCTGGTTCTGAGAGTGCACTGCAGGTATGTCAGATGTTACCACTCGACAAAGCTGGGTGAAAGGTACAACAGACCCCTCTGTACTGTTTTTGGCAGTTATTGTGACTGTATAGTTATTCAGAATAAAAACATTTTAAAGTCCATCAACAAGTTGCATGCTGAGAACAATATACAACTGCCAGAACCCTGGTTTTCATGTTTTTCCGCTCATTAAATCATCTCACTGTTCTTACTGACTGGTTTAATCATCTGTACAAGCAAAACATGACATAAAAGTAATAGGTATATTAATAAAACATCATATAAGTTTAATTTTTTTTCTTTAAAGGCATCAGTTCTTTGGAGAAGCTGAAGATCACTGAGGTCAGAAGAACACACGACGGGGCCCAGGAGCGAGGCTGGGTCTGCCCTCAGCTAACCAGCTGTCACATGAACAATAAAAGGCTTCCTTGTTGAGGAAGTGAGACATAGGCACCTGGGAGGGGAAATGAGGACATAAGACAGTCCCAGGTAGCATGTGGCTAAGCATCAAATGAGTAGTGCTATGGATTGACTGTGTCTCCACAAAATTCTTATGTAGCAGCCCTAACTCCCAATGTGACTCTATTTAGAGAGAGGACCCGTAAAAAGTGACTTAAGTTATATGAGGTCATGGGGCGGGGCTCTAGGCCAGTATGACTGGCGTCCTCCTAAGAAGGAGAGACAACAGGCAGGTGCTCTCACAGAGGCAAGGCCAGAGAGAACTCAGGGAGAAGGCGGCCACCAATGGCCAAGGGCAGAGGCCAAATCTGCCGGACCTGGATCTCGGACTTCAGCCTCCGGATCTGGGAGACAACACATTTCTGCTGTTGAACCCATTCAGTTTATGTGGCATTTTGTTATGGCAGCCCAAGCAAACCAATAAAAAGTGGTATGGTGATGTGGCTCAGCAAAGAAGATGCTTGATTCGAAGCAGCTGTCTGCTCTTCACCAGCGGCCCGAATACAGGACGTAACCACAATTAATGGCATATTCCCATGAAAAAAGAAAGCTTTTATATAATCAAAAGAAACTGAAAGCTAGCTATAAATCCTGTGGAAGAAAACCACACCATTATATACACAGTTTTAGTGATCACCGGAATCAGAGTTCCTTCATCTGCATTCATTCATTCATTCATTCATTCAGTCAGTCCTCCTTCATTTAATCAACCAACCAACAGCAGTGACCAAGCCTCTCTATCCAGTGCCAGGTACTGAAGGCCACACAGCCTGGAGGCCAGAGCTGGGCTCTGTGGAGTGCAGAGGCTTCCAGGAGAGAAGTGCAGGCAAGGGCTACATGATGGATGGATTGTGTCTCCGCGGGGCAAGCCAGGGAGGAGGAGGAGCACAGAGCAGAGGCGACCCCGGACAAGGGGACTGTAAGCAAGGCTGACCTGTGAACCCAGGGACAGAGCAGCCACTCCTAGGGACAGCACATGCCTGGCAGTCCTGTTGACAGACAGAGGTCGGCCCGTACACGTCTCCATGGCCCCAACCTGACCTGGGCCTGCGTCAGCCAGCCCTCCCAGGAAGCATACTTCACATGGCCTTTCTCTAGCAATCCCTCACAGAGACAGCCCCCAAATAACAAAGCAGGAGTTGGCTGCTTGCTTTGTAACACCTTGCTCTCGGATCTGTTTAGAGGACCAATGAAATATAATCTATTAAAAACCATTTTGCACTGGGCACAGTGGCTCATGCCTGTAATCCCAGCACTTTGGGAGGCCAAGACGAATGGATCACAAGGTCAAGATATCGAGACCATCCTGGCCAGCTTGTAAAACCCTGTCTCTACTAAAAATACAAAAATGAGCTGGGTGTGGTGGCGGGTGCCTGTAATCCCAGCTAGTTGGGAGGCTGAGGCAAGAGAATCGCTTGAACCTGGGAGGTGGAGGTTGCAGTGAGCCGTGATGGTGCCACTGCACTCCGGCCTGGGCAACAGAGTGAGACTCAGTCTCAAAAAAACAAAAAAAATCATTTTGTAAACTCTAAAATGTGACATGAAAGACACTTATCAAAGGCTCTTGTGAGTCACCTAATCCAAAGTGATCATTTGATGGATTAAGAAACCGTACATGCCCAAGGCCACCCAGCTGGTACCCGCCAGGGCCAGAACAAAGGCTTGGGATGACTCACTGCCGGGGCTCCATGAGCAGCTCAGCTGTTCCACATGTCAATTTCATAATATTATGTATTTTTCACACCTATATTGTTTTCTTTGATTTTACTACAACTCCAAACATAAACGATTCACAATTTTTATTCTGGCCACGCTATATGATATTTCGCCCTCCCGATGAACAAAGGTTTGTGTTATGGCAAAACTGGACACACCCTTGACATTTCCCGTTTTAACCAAACACTCTGTTCCTACACTCAAAGAATGGTTTCTGTTTGAAACCCAAGAGAGGTCAAGAGCAAACCAGGCAGAACTGAAGGCGGGTGAGAAAGGAAAATGGCAGGAGGAGGGGAAGGGGAAGAAGGAAGGGGTGTTTTCCCAGCACTGCATGCCACTTTCAGTGTTGTCACACTCAAAAGCGATTAGCACGGCAGCAGAGCAGGTGGAAGAGATCAGATTTTTTTTTTTTTTTTTTTGAGATGGAGTCTCGCTCTGTCACCAGGCTGGAGTACAGGAGCACGATCTCAGCCCACTGCAACCTCTGTCTCCCAGGTTCAAGTGATTCTTGTGACTCAGCCTCCTGAGTAGCCGGGATTACAGGTATCTGCCACCACACCCAGATAAATTTTTTTTTGTACTTTTATTTTTTACTTTATTTATTTTTTTCCCATTTATTTATTTTATTGCATTTTAGGTTTTGGGGTACATGTGAAGAACTTGCAAGATTGTTGCACAGGTACACACGTGGCAGCGTGATTTGCTGCCTTCCTCCCCATCACCTACATCTGGCATCTCTCCCCTTGCTATCTCAGGGTTTCACTATGTTGGCCAGGATGGTCTCCATCTCCTGATCTGTGATCTGCCCACCTCGGCCTCCCAAAGTGCTGGGATTACAAGTGTGAGCCACCGCGCCCAGCCAAGATCAGAAGTCTTATAATACAGAGTCACCCTTCACCTCTTAGAGTGAAACTCAGTAAAGGTCATTTGTATGCATGAGAAGAACCTGCTAAGCTTCCACCTGACGACCACAACTGTGTAAGTTAGCGGGCTGCCTCTCCTGCCTGGGTGACCAAAATGCCCAGAGCCAAATGCGGTCCCAACTGCAGACACCTTGGAGCAGCCTGGTGGCTCCTCCCCTTGGCATCACTTGTCGTGTCTTCCTTACTGACCCTTCATCTAGATGCCTTCTGCCATGAATAACTTCGAAACATTACAGGAAAATTAAAAAGGGAAAGTCAAAGACCAGCTTGCAAGAAGAGAGGCAACAGAAGTTCGCCGCTTGTTTCAGGAGGGTTCCTCCCCTGGGATCAAGCCCGATTCCCCCAGGTGTATCAGCCCCTCGGATTATTATTTCAAGTCTCAACTTACCAACAGTGTCACATGGTTCATCTTTCTGTACACAGAAATCCGTCCTAAAAAAAAAAATAAAAGCCATCGTCAGGTATATGCAGTATCCCCAAGGAAGGGAGAAGAAAACATTGTCAATTACCCTCAAGTAGTCATCCCATGAGGTTATCCTTCCAGTGGCCACAGGCCACAGTGGACGGTAACAGGCAGCCATGTTCAGCAATAGTAACCCATCCAGATTTCCCAGGGGTAGGTCCATCTACACCACACGAGACCCTTCTTTTACAGAGGAACGATTCTATGCGTAACAGTTGCTGGAAGGACTCTTTGCGACGGCTGAAAACGTTTTGGAAGATGTTTGCCAAGTCACTGATCAGAGACAATTCTCAGACAATAGCATCCAACTGCAGTGGCTTCCCCAAGCCGCTCTACTGAGGCAGCAACTGGTTTTTGATGCCGTAGTGACCATGTGTCACTTTCACAAGAAGACAACAAAAAGTCATTTTTAAAAACTGTATTCCTCTACCATGCAGCCATAAAAAAGAATGGGATCATGTTCTCTGCAGGGACACGGATGGAGCTGGAGGCCACTATCCTCAGCAAACTGATGCAGGAACAGAAAACCAAACACTGCATGTTCTCACCTGTAAGTGGGAGTTGAATGAGGAAAACACATGAGACTCATGGTGGGGAACACCACACACCAGGGCCAGCTGCGGGGGTGAGGGACACGGAGAGTGTGAGGAGGAACAGCTAATGGATGCTGAGCTGAACACCTAGGTGATGGGCTGATCTGCCCTGCACACCACCATGGTGCATGTTTACCTATGTAATAAACCTGTACATCCTGCATATGTACCCCAGAACGTAAAAGTTGAAGGAAAGTAAAACTGTATTCCTTAAATCTCCTCAGGATCCCCCGGGTGGGCACCTGTGGACCAATGAGACAGCAAAGATGCTTGAAACCTGGTCCAGCCTGGTTCTGCAGGTACAAGGGGATCATCTGGCCTCTTGTGGTGAAACCAGGGGCCTGGGCTCTTCTTCTCTAACAATGGAGCATCCCCATGGTTCTTCGTAAGTTTCCATGGTCAAGAGTTGACCAGAGGGCTGGCTGGGGCAGGACTCAGCCTGGAAGCCTGGTGAGGAGCCATACCTGGCCCAGACATGGCCCCTCCTGGGCCCCATGCTCATCTTCTCTCAGGGCCCAAAGAAAGCTTGAGATCCACACTATCCAAAACGTCACTCCAAAACCAAAACGGAGAATAAATATCACAGAGATGAAAAGGCCTAGTGACTTGATTTTTCCAGCAGACTCACTTTTAGAAGATGAAGGAATAGGTGATACAACTGGCAGAGAGGAAGCCAATTACAAGTAGGGGCACAGGTGTGCTCACTGGCCCAATACCTATCTAGCTCCAGTCCAACGTTACTGATCTGGCACCCTTCCCATTCCGCTATTTTGAGCAAAACACTCTCTGTCTCTCTCTCTCTCTCTCTCTCACACACACACACACACACACACACACACACACACACACATGCAGAGACCAGCCTGACCTAAGACCTCACTCCACGGTTTCTCAGAGATGTGAACAGGACGTGTTTAAAGCTTTGCCCATTGCCTTAGCTAGGCAAAGGGAGAAAGGGAGAAAGGCACGGAGGCCTCAGTCCGACAGAATGGAGGTGGAGCCACAGGCCAAGGCCAAGGGTGAGACGGGTGCCATTGTGGAGAGAGCCAGCCCTGTTGGCGGAGGACCCCCCTCCGCGTGCTCTCCCATCCAGTGGCTGCCCTGAGGGGAAACAGGCAGTCTCAAACGACAGACCCCGAGGCATCACCAGCTGCTTCACCAGGAAGAGGCGAGAGGTGTGTCCAGCTCAGGGAGGGGCAGCTACACTCAATTACAGGCCTGTCTGGAAACGGTCATTTGAATCTGAATCTCTTCTCTCCTTCCTGTTCAAGGCCCTTTCTCAAAAGAGAAGCAGCAAGTCACCTGCCTGCAGGGGCGGCTCTATCTCCAGGGATCCTGGCTTTATTCCGTTCATTATCAGGGACACCCACATCTTATGTCATCCCACTGCCAACTCACATCAAACTCCCAGGCAGGGACTGTGGGGTTCACTCCAGGAATGAAAAGAAAATGAGGGCTAGACTCGGCTCCCAGCCCCTACGTCCACTGAAACTCCAAGGTGCCTTCCTCAAGGCTGACGTGAATCTGCCTGGCAGGGCTAGCTTTGTGGGTGTCTGACCCCCGCCCTGGGCTAACGCTCTGGGGTCATGGGGTCCCATGTTTTCATTTTGTACTGGGCGCCACAAGTTACGCAGCTGGTCCTGTGCATAACCCACAGCCAGGCACACAGCTGGGACTTCATACATTCTTTGATTAATTGGCTGACGTTTCCAGACCCTTCCAATAGGCCCGGCAAGCTACCCAGCAGCCATGGCCTCACCAGCATTGCAAGCCGGAGAGCAGAGCAGCAACTTCCACGGATGCCTGCTGAGACCTCACCACGAGCAAAGCCTGGCGAGCCGGCTCCTTGGCAGAAGGTGGAGGGAGGGCATCCTGGGGAGCGAGACAGTGTTACACTGGAGGGGACAGTCTGGCCAGAGGGATCCTGGTGGTGCAGCCTCGGGCCACCTGTGTCTGCTCTGGCGTCTCCCGGGCACTCTCACCAGGAGCACAGGCCCAGGCTCAGGGAGGAGTCCTGTGTTCCCAGCTTCCTGGGTCAGTCAAGCCCTGAGGCCTCTGTGTGGACTCCATGTGGTCCCAGGCCCAGTCCTCTCAGGGGTCCTTCCTAGTCGCAGACGCAGCTGCAGAAAACCCAGCTTCCACCGCTTCTGGCTCAGCAGCTCCTGCTGGACATGACGTCATGCTCACGTCCTCCACGGCAGCCACCTGTCAGGGGATGTCTGGGAGAATACACTGTCCAGCTCGAGCACAGCCCATAAGGGGAAAAAAGAACCTTAAACGGGAGGAAACCCTCACGTTGGCCGGTCCTAACTCAGGACCAGGAGGCTGTCCCCTGAGCGCAGCCCAGCCCGGGCAGCCTCAGCTCGGGTTACGGTGGGAGAAAAGGACAGCTTCTCCAGGGCGGCAGCTGCCTCACACCCAATCTCCGTGTGAAAACATCAGCCTGTTATTATCCCAACCTAGGGAATTGCAGCTCTCTACTTCTAGTTATTAAACACGGCTTCCCCGCCAGCTCAGCTTCCTGCCCAACTCCAGAGCTGCCTCTCCCGGCCTTGAAAGAGATCCTCAATTTAACATCTGTGAGGACGCAAAGGAGGGGCCATGCACTGATCCGTTCAGGCCAGTAGCCCCACGGCAGCAGGTGAGATAGACCGTGATCGCTGACATAGCTTCAAGGCATCAGCCCGTAATATAGAAGAAAGCTCAGGCTCCCAGGATGGCGACAGGTAACAGCTATGCAAGAGGCCAATTGAAGGCTTGTTTTCTGCGTCCCTGGATGAGGACACTGCCCATGCCCCCAGCATCCTCACCCAGAACCACTCCCATGCAATTAGGACCCCTCTCCAATGTGCTTAGTTAGAACAGAACATTTTTATTATAAAACTTTTTATTGTACTAATACATGAACATACAATTTACTATGGTAACCACTGAGTGTAAAGTTCAGTCATGTTAAAGCCACTGTCACGCAACCATCACCGCTATCCACCTCCAAAACTGGCATCCCACATTGAAACTCTGTACCCACAAAATAACAGCTCCCCACTCTCCCTTCTCCCCAACCTCTAGCAACCACCATGCTTTGTCTCTATGAATCTGACCACCGTAGGTACCTCATGTAAGTGGAATCATGCAGCATTTGTCCTCAAGGTTCATCCAAGTTGCAGCCCGTGTCCGAATCTCCTTCCTTTTTAAGGCTGAGTAATATTCCCTTGTACATAGATAGCATGTCTGTTTATCCATTCTTCCATCCAAGGACATTTAGGTCACTCCCACCTTTTGGCTGTCATGATAACGTTGCTGTGAACATGAGTGTCCAAACATCCGAGTCTCTGCTTTCAATTATCTGGGGATTCAGTTCTTTACGGTTCAGAAGTGGGATTGTATGGTAACTCCCGTTTTGATTTTTCAAGAAGCCATCATATGGTTTTCTAAAGTGGCTGTACTATCTTACGTTCCCATCAATGGTTCACAAAAGAGTTCCAATTTCTCCACATTCTTCCAACACTGGTCATTTTCCATTGTTTTGTGTATTAGTCCGTTTTCATGCCAGTGATAAAGACATACCCAAGACTGGGCAATTTACAAAACAAAGAGGTTTAATGGACTTACAGTTCCACATGGCTGGGGAGGCCTCATAATCATGATGGAAGGCAAAGGCACGTCTCACATGGTCGCAGACAGGAGAAGAGAGCTTGTGCAGGCAAACTACGTCTTGTATGATCATTAGATCTTGTGAGGCTTCGCCACCATCCCGAGAAGAGCACAGGAAAGACCTGCCCTCGTGACTCAGTTACCCCTACCAGGTCCCTCCCACCACACGGGGGAATTGAGGATGAGAGCTGGGTGGGGACACAGCCAAACCATGGCATTTTGTTTCACGGCAGCCACTGTAAAGTGTGAGGTACAGAAAAGAACATTTCTACACAAAATATGTCCTCTGTCTTAAGTTGGGAGGGTGGAAAATGAAAAGAAAGTCTAATTTACAGCATCTCTGCAGTGAGGGTGTATCACGACAGCTGAGGTCTTTTTGTAAAAGGGCTAATACAGATGCTTTGTCAACAGTCATCTTGGTGACATTTATTGCCTCTGGAAAACAAACGCCATTCATCTCCAAATCCAGACTACTTACAAGTTCCTTCTCCACTCATTGAAAGGAAACAGCAGGAAAGAGATGAAATTTTTTTTTCAATAGAGGGAAAAATTCCCATGAGTGATTATTTAACAAAACACAAGAAACTGCAGATTTTCTATAGTATTTTTAAAGCTATATTCAAAGTAGAAACCGTGGGAGTTTAGCTGCATATTCCACAGATGACGTTGTTTAAGAGTTCCTCTAGGAAAATCTTTCAAACCAAATATAATTACCATTTGGAAAATCAGCTCCATTAACCTAAAATCATGCACAGACATCGTTCCCAAGGACTCTTGCTTGCTCCCCAGATTGAATCCGCGCTCAAATTGTGGTACCCTTAACCTGAACACTGCAATACCCAGGGCATTCTACAGAAAGCCTCACGGTCCCCAAATGCCATTGCAAAGTCACTTGAGCAACAGCAGCCTCTGGCCAGTGGGTGTGGGCGGTCCCTGCTCTTAAGGAAGGTGGTGCCTGGAGGCTCCCAGTGCTCACTGGAGTGGACAAGACCAGGTCAAATCATACACCAGGTCACGTTCACCCTTGGTCCTTAATGCCTGCTAGCGCATCAGCCACATCAGACAATCAGAATTACTAAAGACACTTTTTCCACAATGTCTCTTCAATAATTCTGATTGTCCATGATAGGGCTTATATATGGATTATATATTTAATCATACCCTGTAGAAGCAGCAAGTATTCTCCTAAGGGATTGCCACATACAAAGCACACTGTTAAATGTGTAACAAAGCATGCTTAGGGTTGGAAACTGACAAACCTCCACAGACAGTGGGCAGGCATCTTTTTGGTAACACGTAGTGGCATTGTGTCTATTCTGGGGTTTTTTTCTTTTTCTTTTTTTGAGATGGAGTTTCGCTCTTGTCACCCAGGCTGAAGTAGAATGGCACGATCTTGGCTCACTTCTGGGTTCAAGCGATTCTCCTGCCTCTGCCCCCCGAGTAGCTGAGATTATAAGCCTGCACCACCACACCTGGCTAATTTTTGTATTTTAGTAGAGATGGGGTTTCGTCATGTTGGCCAGGCTGGTCTCTAACTCCTGACCTCGGGTGATCCGCCCACCTCAGCCTCCTAAAGTGCTGGGATTACAGGCATGAGTCACTGTGCCTGGCCTATTCTGGGATTTTTGAAAGGAATCAAGCTGCACTGTCCGGTGCTTGGGACAGGGATCACAGAATTTCCCAGATGACTTTGAGACGTCATGGGGCTCAGAGTTTGCAGCACATGGCCTGAGAGATGCAACCAAAAGCATTTCTTGACTCAAAACCCAATGTTAAGCGAGATTTAACTCTATGTGGAGGACCAGGCGTAGTGGCTCATGCCTGTAATCCTAGCACTTTGGAGGCTGAGACAGGCGGATCACCTGAAGTCAGGGGTTCCAGACCAGCCTGGCCAACATGGTGAAACCCCATCTCTATTAAAAACACAACAACTAGCCAGGCATGGTGGCACACGCCTGTAATCCCAGCTACTCAGGAGGCTGAGGCAGGAGAATCACTTGAACCCAGGAGGCAGAAGCTGCAGTGAGCGAAGACTGTACCATGCACTCCAGCTGGGTGACAGACGGAGACTCTGTCTCAGAAAAAAAAGTCCCTAGCTTTCAATGTTGACATATTCCTAGCGACTCTAACTAAAAGCTGGTGTTTTTAACCTAATGGATTAAGTTACTAAGAAGTATTTCTGTGTATTTTATAAAGGGAGATTTTTGGTATGAACACGTAACACGTTGTTTATGTTGTTAAAGTCAAGCAACCAAAAGAAACATCAGTGGTCCTCAGAGAGGGCCGAGACATAAGGAAAAATGACACAGCCACTGACATCTGTGGAGGTAACCCCCAAAAAGAAATGGTCCAAGTGCTAACCCTCAGTACCCGTGAATGTGATCTCACATGGAGAAAGAATCACTGCAGGTAGAATCAAGTTAAGATGTGGTCACGCTGGAGTGAAGTGAGCCCCAGTCCAGTGACCTGCGTCTTTATAGGAAGAGGGAAGTTTGGACAGACAGACGCACGGGGAGAACGCCGTGTGAAAATGGAGGAGGGACAAGAGGGACACAGCTACATGCCCAGGCATTGTACCTACCTCAGAGGTGGACATCCTGATTAACCCCCTCTTACTGATGAGGAAAACAAAACCCAGACAGGTGGCCCAAGGTCCGATTTCCAAGCCTGAATTCCCAACAACATGCCTGTTTCCTCACCGAAGGGAAACATCTTTTCCCACTCGCATGTCAGTTACAGGCCAAATCCCGTTTTACCTGGTCACAAACACAGCAGCGTCCACCAGCGGTGGGTCGTCCTTCCCGCCGGGAACCTGGTTGCTGCCGAGGTACCGCGCTCCTCCATACTCCTCGTTCTGCCAGTGACAGAAGCTCTCCAGGGACCGCTCACCATGGTGCCCAATGTGCAACTTAGCCTGAAAGAAATCGGGGGACAGTTAGAGACACAAACGCCTGGGGGGCCAGAGTTTAGATCGACACTACGGCAAGGACGTTAAGGTGGAGACAGTCACTCGTTGAGACACCATTTAATGACTCACGGCCCTCTTAAGAAAAGCCTGATGCTAGTGGGTAAGCAGCATAGCATCAATCTGCAGAGACCATCAGGGGCCTTACATATAGGTACGAATGGAGACGATGCTAGTAAGAAAAGGCATCTTCTTCTCTTCAGACAGAACAGTATCCCAAACCAAGCAATGCTCCCTCAGTCTCACGGTGATGAAGTCGACTCGCCAGGTAACATCAGCACATGGGAAGGTGCTCCATTGAAAGACCAGAAAACAATGCTGCCGTGAACCCAACCTAGGGTCAAAGCTCTGATGCAGTTTCAGAAGGGAAGTCACCGGGCCAGGCGCGGTGGCTCATGCCTGTAATCCCAGCACTTTGGGAGGCTGAGGATCACAAATTTGGGAGGCTGGGCAGATCACAATTTCAGGAGAATGAAATCATCCTGGCCAGCACAGTGAAACCCTGTCTCTACTAAAAATATAAAAAATTAGCTGGGCACGGTGGCAGGTGCCTGCAGTCCCAGCTACTCATGAGGTTGAGGCAGAAGAATGGCTTGAACCTGGGAGGTGGAGGTTGCAGTGAGCCGAGATCACGCCACTGCACTCCAGCCTGAGTGACAGAACGAGAGTCCGTCTCAAAGGAAAAGAAGAAGGGAAGCCACAATGTCAGAGATCTCCCCGTTAAGATTTGGACGTAACCTAGCGGGACCATGCGAGAGCCTCAGGGAGAGGAGGGGGATGTGTGTGGGCTTCCCGCTCAGGCTTGAGATTCTCAACAGCCCGCCCTCACACCACGCCACCAGTACTGATGCCAGCTTCCCTCTCACGCTGGCAGAGCTACAGAGGGCACTGAAGACCGGCAACGCCCTGGAGCCCCACTTAGCATTCAACAACAACTGGGAAGCTCTGGCCAGGCCACATTTTCTGCATGCTTGAAAGGTGCCCGTGGGGACTCACCGGACGTTGTTGTAGCAGGACAAGCTTGGTCACTTGAATATTAATTTTAATCCCCAGGCTCTGGTGCTGAAACATATTGTACACCTATCAAGACAGAAAAAAAAGATATAAATGTAAAATTTTTTAAAAATATAGTAGTATCCTGGATGGGAACTTGGGAGAGAGAAAAGAGATTACTTAAAAATAAGGGGACATGAATGAAGGGCAGACTTTAGTTTATAACACTCGATCAGTATTAGTCCGCTAATGACAACCAACATACCATTCCAACGTGAGAGGCTCATACTGGCAGAAACTACGTATGGCAGCTCTCTGCACTAACTCATCAATTTTTCTGTACATCTAAAATTGTTCTAAAATACAAATTCCATTCACAAAAGTATTAAAAATACAGGTTGTGCTCTTCCAGTATTAAAAAAACTGAAGAACAATTATGTAAAACTCAAAGGCCAGTGTTCATACATCAACTCTTATTGAAACAAAAAATACAAATATGAAAAACATAACCCAGATTTTATTTAAAAGGTTTTCCAAGAAAGCCAAAAATTTCCTTAAAAATGAATTTGCCAAAAGAAAAATGTATATGAGAAATCTCTAGAATCATACACATGTGTACAAACATACATATACAGTATGCTTATGTATGTCTATAAAGCTATGCTGGAAATATACATAAAAAACACATATAGGAAAGGTAGTGTTGAAAAAAGGAAAGGGCTGTTAGATGATTCTGGCAGGAAGCTGAAAACTTCCATTCTGAGCTTTCATGCTTGGCGATAAAAGGGGACCTTCATGAAGGGGTGGGGGAGCCAGACGCCTGTTGCACGCCAGCCTGTGTCATTGCTAACCCTTGCCACGCCCACCAAAACTGGCATCTCCACCACTCTCAGCTGGGCAACAGGAAAACCAGTTCCTTCAGGTAAAGCCACCTGCGTGAGACCCACAGCCAGGCACGACAACTTGATTTAAACTCAGCCCTGTCCAGCCAAAAGGTCTACATTCCTTCTTTATTCCCTAAAGTCCCATTGTAACCAAAGTTTGTCACTGAAATAAATCACAGTAACAGAAAAGGACCTATCTTCTCAATTTTGTTGCAGAACTTAACTGTAAGGACCTCAACATCAAGCAGTGACAGGAAAGTGATTCAAGAGGAAGAGAAGGGAACTTGGAATAAGGTGAAGGATTCAAAGGTGACATGGATGGAACAAGCCCCCTGCAGCTGACAATCCCAGGTCATTATGACTCTGCCAAGTTCCTTTTCCGTCACTCAGAGAAAGCAGGACGTGAGAGGTATGCGGAGAGCATACTAAAGGCAGAGGCAGCTAGAAAGTGTGGAGGGAACAAGAATAAAATCTTTTGAATATTCTGCTTGGTTTTTACCTATAGACATAACACAGGTAACACAGGAGGGAGAATTTTCCAGCAGGAGCATTAAAACTTTCTCCAGCTGGTGCTGTGTTCACGCTATCAGCGCATCAGCAGCGGCAGCAGGAAGCGATGATCATGGTAGACAGCACAGCCAGGGTCAACTCAGGCCAAGCTGAGCAGCCCAACGCGGCCGCACCCAGCCCACAAGTGCTGGAAGCCAGAGACGCAGTGTGTGAGCATCTCCGTGACAAAGGCATCAGCTTTGTCACTGCTTTAATTTTACTCTTTGAAAACCATTATTACAGTTAAAAAAATCTATCTTTGTGTGATATAATATTCCTTCCCACAAGGAAAAATAGAACACATCCAATTGTTCTGTTCTTACCTTTGTTATTTCCAAAATCTCCTTTCCTCATGAACAAGTAGCTGTTTTTTTGTTTTGTTTTTGTTTGTGTGTGTGTGTGTGTGTGCGCGCGCACGCACGTGCGCACGCATGTGTGTGTGTTTTAATACTGGACCATCCACAGGCCAGTTCTGAAGTCATGTATTCATGACCTATCCCCAAGCCTGGGACAGGAGGGGGGAGGCACCTAACTTGCCTTCCCCCTCCCTGCTCCTTGTTTTGATAGTTCAAGAACCACCCAATAATTTTCCCTAAAATATTCAGCATCAGAACTGGGTCCAAACTGGTAAACTTCAGTTCAAAACACGAAAATTAGGAAGAAAGAAAACTTGAAGTCATGAGGGAGAAAATTCAAATTGCAGTGTTGCTATCTGAGATTACATACTGCAATCTAAACACTGCCTGTCATGTCAATCCCAGTCAAAACCCAAAACATTAAAGGATACTACAGATTTAAAGAAATAAAGGGATAAAGCAATCCTTAGTGATATTATAATATGCCACAAAAGGAAAGACCGCAAGGAAGAATGCAAGTTTCAGGAAGAACCAAACTGTAGGAATAAGCTCCCTTGTCAAAATCACCCATGTTCTCCTTGCCAGACTGATGACAGTTGAGAGCACGCCATATACCACTCACCCAAAGCTCAGCCACTTCCCGTGATACAAATGCCACCAAGAAGATGAGAGATGGAAGGGGGATGGAAAGTTTCATGCTCCAGGGGCTGGGGGGAAGCAAAAACGGGAAGGTGGGTATAGAGTTTCAGATTTGCAAGATAAAAAAGCTGTAAAGATTGAACAACAAGGTGAACGTAAGAATACTAAACTACACAGCTAAAAATGGCTAAGACGGTAAATTTCATGTTAAGTGTATTTTACTACAATTAAAAGTACAAAACTCACTCATTAAAAAGCTTCATGCTCTAACTATTTAACGAGTACAGAGTTTCAGTTTTGCAAGACAAAAAAGCTGTAGAGATTAATTGTACAACAATGTGAATGTGGGAATACCGAAGCACACAGTTAAAAACGGCAAAGACGGTAAATTTCACGTTAAGTGTGTTTTACTACAATTAAAAGTACATTCATGCTCTAATGTTCTCTAGCAAGCCTTGTAAGAAGACATTTCCTCTTGACATGTAACCAGGGTACATGACATCCAAGAGAGCAGGTACCGAAGCCTGAGCATGGCTCAAGCACTGTCACCTGCCAGGTGCTGACCACAGCCTCTGACAAAGGTCAGAGCACAAGGCAAGGTGCACACACAGAATCTCCCTTGAGGTCCTGCGCCAAAGCCAGCCAAGCCAGATGAAAATCCACCGACAGCCACAAAACACAAGGTACAAGCCTCAAAGACATGTAACAGAGTCTCCTCATCTTTTTTTTTCCCCATGGAAACTCATGCTCAGGAGAAGTCTTGGAGGCAATGGCTACACGATGTTTAGAGAGACACCTGGTTGGGGAGGGAACAGCGCAGCCAAGCGTCTGGAAATTCTGTCTCCGGCGTCCAGCTCTGGCTGTGTCCCAGCAAGTGTTCAGAGCCCTGGCTGCATTTGTCACATTTCCTTGGCAGCCTAGGGGCCTAGCAGGGTAGATGCTGCTGCCAGCAGCACACTGCAGCTTCTCTGGCTAGGAAACGTGGGGACACAGTAAGGGAAGGGCAGACAGGGACCAGAGAAGGGGCCGTGGTTGGGGACACAAGGAGAGGAGCTACTCACCACGCCAGGCTGGGCTTCACAAGGGCACCAGCTACCTGTATGACATCAGGCCTCCCCAGGGACAGACAGCGACCTGTGGGTGACACTCTCAGATTGCATACACTGCCATTCAGACCCCTCAACAGGAGGGAGCTATGTTCTGTAGCACAGTACCTGTGAGTGGGGTCCCCAACGCAGCAGCAGCATCAACATTACCCCGGCACTTGTTTGAAACGCACATTCAGGAGTCCACCCCAGCCCCACTGAACCAGAGACCCTGGGGGTGGGCAGGCCATCTATGCTGAACAATACACCCTCCCCACCCTGCTCCAGGGCCTCCACACCCCCCGGAGTGTGGGAACCAGTGAGGGCTCTAGCACTGTGCTCCTCTTGCTGGACACCAGAGAGAGGCTTGTTGTCTCTGCCACATGGTAATTGAGTAAAATTGATGTCATTTTCCCTCCATACAGAACTTGCCTGGAACAGCTCAGGTTTTTCATTCCACTCCACGGTCGTTAAGGAAGCTAAGAACAACCGAAGCTCTGTGAAGCGGCCCCATTTTCCAATTTGGCTGCCCACACCCAGGGTTTCTGGTATCAGCACCACCTGTTTCCGTCTGCAATTTGTTCTTTAAAACATTCCCGCTGCTGTGTCACCGCCACCCCAACCAAAGGAGAAGCACATGACATACACACAACTGTACCACACACAGCACACCTGGAAAACCCATAACAGTGGGGCCACAGCACCTCTCTGCAGCTTGGGTCAGCTCAGGCACCCGACCTGATGGAGGCTTGGGCTGGGTGCAGTGAGTCAGGCCTGTAATCCCAGCACTTTGGGAGGCTGAGGTGGGTGGATCATGAGGTCAGGAGATCGAGACCATCCTGGCCAACATGGTGAAACGCCGTCTCTACTAAAAATACAGAACATTAGCCAGGCCCGTGGTGGCATGTGCCTGTAGTCCCAGCTACTCGGGAGGCTGAGGCAGGAGAATCACTCAAACCCGGGAGGCGCAGGCTGCAGTAAGCCGAGATCATGTCCCTGCACTCCAGCCCAGACAACAGACTCAGACTCCATCTTTAAAAAAAAACAACACAAACCAGAGCACATCACTCTTCCCATGCAACAGCTTCCCACTGCCTGGAACGAAGCCGCTCTCCACGCCCTGGTGTCCAGCCTGCAAGGTCGGCCTGCCTGCCTGCCTCCCACGGTGCCCACCACCTCCCTCCCCATCACCCACAAGCAACCAGCCATTTCTGTGCCTCTCCAATGCTAGCCTAACCCTCACTGGCTGACTGATTATGTTGGCTTACTACCTTCCCCTCTAAGGTTACCTCACTCCTCTCAGAGAGGTGGCCCCGATACCCCTGTCGCTGCTGTCACTTGGTTTTCTGCACAGCACTTACCACGGTCTGGCTTTCCTTCTCACCGATTTGTGTGCTGAATGTTGTCTGTCATTCCTACATAAGCACCATGAGGACGAGACCTCCAGTGGTTCCTACTCTACCCCAGAAGAGGACAGGAGGGTCCCCAGCACACACTAAGTGCCCAATAAATAAACCTCAGGAGAATCAATTGTTTTTATATTTCTGGTGAAACACATACAACATAAAATTTAC